CATCACTCTCTTGGTCCCTAGGCCAAGGAATTCGGATTAAGCCATCAAGGTAGCTCTCTTGGCCTAATAGACTAAGGACTACCAAACCTTCCCTCTCAAATCGGAGTTCGGACGACCAAAACACAATCAACCTAGGTGCCAACACATACAAGGAGGGATGCCCTACATTAACCTAGATAGGAGGCGTGATTTTCCTAAGAAAACCCAGCTTTACAAGCCTCTTTAACAAAAAGGGAGTTTTTTCTCTACCTACGTTAGAATGGCAAATAGATTGATAGGCAAACACACAACAAAATCTTCCATGAAAATACCTCGAAATTCGTATTAAAACACACCCACACATAGACAATCATTCCATACAATCAATCACATGGTAGGAGTTAGGGTTTACAAACACCCAAATGAAAAGGGAAACTACTCCATGCTAGGAGAGGGGAAAACACAAGGAGAAAGAATAAAAACCATCATGGAGATGCTTGAATCCTTCCTTGTGTAGAAGAGATCTTCCTTTGGGGAAGATTTTCCCAAATCCTTGCCTTGGAAAGAAACCCTAGCTTCTTATCTCTTCTTGCTTGTCACTTTCTCTCTCTAAAATGATAAAGAAAAAGGTTTTCTCACTCTAGGTCTCCTTCTATCTTTCCTTCAGCTCAAACCCCTTTTTATAGCCAGGGCGGGCTCACATCACAATCCCAGTTCACGGCCGTGAACTCAAGGCGGGGACACTGATCTCGGGCCAAAACGCGTTGCATCAATAATTCAGTTCACGGTCAGTGGCTTGGGTTCTAAGTTTTATGACCGTGAACTGGCTTGAGTCTAGTGAGATAAAAAATGTCTCTGGACGCCTGGTGGTTCACAGTTTGTGGCTCCAATTCACGGTCTCCCTGACCATGAACTCAGTGCTTCCACCATGATCTGTTACTGCCTCCATCCTTTGACCCAAATTTGCACCTTTTCGTCCAACTTTCGACATCGGGGTTGGTTCGACCTGCTATAGACTGAAATGCACAAAATTGAGACAAAACCCGTTGTAAAACTAAACCCCCCATAGTAAAAATGCCTCAAACGACAAAGGAAACCGGGGGTAAAAAGTGTACAATTAAGCCCGAATCACTCCCCCACACTTAGACGTTTGCTTGTCCTCAAGCAAACCATTTCAACCATGGTGATAGCTCAACCTAACAAAATAACTTGGGGACAAATCAAAAGGCACAAAGTGGTGAATCTCAATGGAAATTGGGCATCAACATATGAACCACCACATGCAATACCGCATCCACCACAAACAACATTCGAATGCATCAAGAATGGACAAATGAAAAGTTCTCACCCTGTTCACAAATCAAAGCAATTCTCAACCGGACTACTCTTCAACTGCAACTAACCATGCATAGAACTCAAGTACAAGGAACAAACGAAAGGGCGACAAAGGTCCTCACCGGCGTAAGATATGAACATGCAAAGCAAGAATGAACCACTCACTCTCGACCAGTGGGGTCAGGACCTTTTTAGTGCAAAATATGTGCACAACCATCAACACTTAGCCATATCGTCTCTCCACCACGGCGGCAACCTCTAAATGCTATGTTCACAGAATGGTTGTCATCACTAGCTTGTCCGGAGGTCTTAGACACGAGTTCAAATGACTAGAAATTGTCTTGGACATGGGGAAAATGCCTTTTGGGTTGTGGCAAACATGGAATGAGGTCCTACATCTTCAACCTAAAACCAAAGTTTCTATGGTTTCGACTAAGAACCTTTCCTACAATCAACGGCCACTAGCATCGGCCAAAAACCACACTTCCCTTCTTTCAAACCACTAGCAACCACGAACTTCATTCAATCACACTCCTCGATCTATTCTCGCTATTCACATTTCCATCATAATAGTGAAGGAGGTCATCAAACAATTTAGGTGTTTCAATGGCTTGAGTGCCAAGAAACTCTTCTTAGAGCATATACTTAGACTTTTGTGGCCACTCTCTACTTTTATTTACCTCGTTTTATTACTTCCTTTTCGTTTCTTTTCATTTCTTTTGCTCTTTTCTTAGAGGGGGGTACTAGAGAGTACAACACATGCTCTCTATAACGAACTTTAATGAACAATGCTCTCTATAAAGAACTTTCCTCCAACACTACCTTACCATTTAGCAAGAACCCTCCAAAACCACCTATGTAGAACCTCAATGGAGCTCAAAAGCGAGAACTCAGAGACACAAGGATAACTCACACTTCAACAAGAAGAAAGGAAGGGGGTCATTCTCTCAATCACCATTAACCTCAACAAGCACAAAGCTCCTAACATTAGAATGACCCCTCAAGTCACACGGCTCAAAGGGGTTGACTAAGGGATAAAATGTTTTGGGACAATCAACTAGTTTCTTGGCACGAGATTCTTCATGGCAGTGTGCTAGCCGTGTAATCGGGAAAATATGAGTTTTAACCCAATTTTGGGTTTGTGGAGAGGGGATCCGAGTTTTAAAGCATAAAACATAGAGTTAGAAAGAAATTGACGAACCCGTCCTCCAAGGTGACCTAGATCAAGTTTTGACACCATTGGAGCTCGATTGAAGCCTGGAAAAGCACTGAATGAAACCAGAAGCTGAATTCTATCCTCTACAAGATGATTTATGGATCTAAAGCTGATTTCATCTCTCTCTCCATGGAGTAAACTCCCTCTCTCGCCTGGTATGAAGAATCCTAGAGTTGTATGTTAGGTTGATTGTATGAACCCAAGTACATAAAATTTTGATATTGATTATATTCAATTGAGGCATGATTCCAGAACTGCATGAGTCTTGATCACATTCTTGTAGTTTCTGCTTTGACCTAGAAAGAGAATATTTGCATAGGTTGATAGAGCACCCTTGATTGAAGGTGGTGAATTGACTACTTTAGTCGAGAAGTCAGTTAACCGCTATGTACTGGATTTGATCCGGTAGAGGAGGTTTTTCACGTTAGGGCCTCAGTTCGTTTATTTCAGTAGAGGCTAAACGCCCGCCGGGTAATCAGACTGCGAGGGTCTGAAGACCTTTAGCCGAGACTTAAGACTGAATAAGAACTTTCCGCAGTATAACTATCATTATATCTAAACTTGGTGAATTACAATTCGGCTTAACTGCAATCTAAGGGGAACCATATCCGGGTGACCTCTCTAGAACTTGAATCACAACTTTACTGCTTTGTGTTTTCTTAGATTAGATACAACTTCACTACGTTCAAACTGCTAAATAACGAGAACTTCATGGAGTAGTCATCACATCTAGGACTCGGGTTGACAATTAAAGCTAAACCCACTATACTATGCATTAGTTTGTGATTACACTTTGCCACTTTCTAGTGTGACGGTATTGGCGAGTCAAGTTTTTAGTACCATTGTCGGGAACAGCTACATTGTTGAAGAAACGTGATTTCTATTACTTTAGCTTTTCCTTTCTGCATTGTTTTCTTTTACTTTTTTTCCCCTTTTTCCTTCATGGGTTTGCCTGCACCTTGTCTGCAGGTAGTGCATGACCTGTAGCCAGTCGGGAGGATTACTGTTGTTGGATCAGAAACATGAATGGACTTGTCGTCAGTCTAAGAAAGCACTGCAAGCGAGACTGGTTACGTAGGAAAAGCAGGTCGACCGCCAGATAAGCGACGACTCTGAGCAGGAGGACGACATGGGAGATGAACAGAATCGGATGAACAACATGCACTTGGGGTAGTCTCATCTTGGGATGCCTTTCTAGGTTCCTCCATTAAATCAAGCTCTACCTAACAATGGCGATCCACAGGCGGATAGGGCCCACCATCAGCTGCCTCCGCAAGAGCACACCATTGAGTACTTCTACACTCCACGACTCGCTGACATCCGCCCAGTCATCCAATATCCACCCATACATGCTAACAACTTTGAGATCAAGCCCTGCTGGATCCAGTTGATTACGACCTCCATTCAGTTTCATGGGCTCAAGGATGAAGAGGCGAGGATGCACCTTTCTTGGTTCTTGCAATTGAGTAGGGCTGGAGGTTCGGTTATCGGTTGCCGGTTAACCGGCCGGTTAAACTGATAACCGGCAGTTACCGGTTAACCGACTAACCGAAAAAAGCTTATGCGGGCGGTGTCGGTTAACCGGCTAACCGACGAATCTAACCCCCGGTTAACCGGCTAACCGACACAGCCAACCCCTTCACAAAATGATGTCGCCCCCTCCCACTCTTCAGCGTTCACCCTAAGCTGCCTAACCCTAATTCCCCTTCGACTTCGTCCTTTCTTCCCCAATTGCCAATTCGCCCCCTCCCACTCTTCAGCGTTCACCCTAAGACGCCCACTCGCCACCCAGCCACACAGTACCCCGCCGGCCGATTTGCGAATGGAGACCGCGACTCCATCTCGTCCCTCGGCCTCCATCTCATTGTCTCTTCTTCCCAGGCCACATCAGTGACTTCAGACGACGCCGCGACCAGAGCAACGCCGCCATCTCCCTCGCCGACCCGCGCCCCTACTCAGCTGCTCCGCCATCTCCTCCCCGACCAGCTTCCCGACTCGCCGCCAGGCACATAGCTCCCCACCGGCTGCCGTTGTTCCTCCGCCACCAGCACCAGTCCACGCCATTGTTCCTCCGCCGCCAGCGATAGTCAACCGCCTGTGTTGTGCGGTTAGCACGGTTAACCGAGCAACTAACCAGTAACTGACCGGTCGGTTGTCGGATAACCGAGGAAGGCTTTCGGTCGGTTGGCGGTAGCATTTCCTTGTATCTCGGTTACCGGTTATAAACGAAAAAACCGAACCTCCAGCCCTACAATTGACCAACGGTTTCAAGCTAAATGGTGTTCCAGATGATATGATCTGACTTCACCTTTTCCCTCACTCTCTGATGGGGCACGCAAAGAGGTGGCAAGAAACTCAGTTGGGATGACCTGGCTAACAAATTCGTGCACCAGTACTCTCCGGCCTCGAAGACTTAAGAGATTCAGCGGGAGATCACCCATTTCCGCTAGGAAGATGCTAAATCCTTGCGAACCATTTGGGAACTATATTCTAGATTGTTGTGGAAGTGTCTCCACCACGGTTTCAGTGATGCATTCACCGTGGGGAACTTCTACAGTGCCTTGTCCCTAGAGAGTCAGCGGCTGATCGAGTTTTTGTGTCCGGGTGAAGACATTCTCATGAAGACTCTGGCATATTTGAACAATATGATCGAAACTTTGGCCTCCTAGAATCATTCTTGGGGGCAGACCACAAGATGCATGAGTTCAAGGGATAGAGGTGTGCATGCCATGGAGATCAGATCAGGCCTTGAACGAGCAGTGACAGAGCTGGTTCAGTCATTGAAGCAACCTAACATTCTCATACCTGGTAAAGGCATGTCGCCTCCTCTAGTGGCCTAGTGTCACTGGTGCAAAAGCTCCAACCATTTGGTGGAAGACTGTCAGGCCATGCGGGAATCCACCACCCCACAGGAGCAGTTGGACTTCATTGTCAATGCTCGGCGCCTCAAACCCTACAACGATACTTATAACGAGGGGTGGCACTAGCATCCCTACTTCTCCTAGGGTGGCAGCAACAACAGCACCGCCAAGCCTCCTGGCTTCACAACACCGACTGGTGGCTTTCCCTAGAGGCAGCAGTACCAGAACCGACAAGGTCAGTTCCATCAATAGCAGCCATTCCAACCCAGACAGGGGCAAACTTTTCAGCGATCGCAACGGCAAACTCAGCAGCCGACAGCAGCTCCAGCATAGGGTGACCCGATGTTCGAGCTGCGAAATATGATGACGACCTTCGTGAGTACCAATACTCAGCAGTTCGGCAAGATGGACATGTTCATGGCTTTTTCCATAGGGAAATTCAATGAGTTGGAGGCAGGTCAGAGGAACCAGAATGTCATTCTGCAGGACCTCCAAAACCATATTGGAGGCATAGCCCAATGCAATGCCACTAGAGCGCGAGGAACTCTACCTGCCAACACCATCCCAAATCCTCGAGATTCTCACCAGCAGTTGGATGCCATTACTACGAGAAGTGGGAAGACGATGGATGCAATCTGATTCAGGTCCAATTGTACACATTTTACCCCTCTTTTCTTATTCAGTTTGCTTAGTAGATCACCGTCCCTCCGCCTATTTTATGCTAGGTTGTGCTTTTTTGTTACATTTCAGGTCCTAGCACGTGTGGGAAGGTCCAGGACGAGTTTCAGGTCATTTAGAGGTCAAAAAGAGCCAAAAAGTGGAGGTTGAGCACTGTTCACGGGCTGGAGGCAAATGTCACGCCCTGAGACCTTGAAAATCACCCCCAGGGAGTGAAGTGATGACTTCATGGTATGTACTCATTTATCACGGTCTTAAGACCGTGATAATCAGCCCCAGACCGTGAAGTGACCAATTTCCAAAGCGGTTTGCGGTCTCACTGGACTCAAGTAAGTTCACAGTCTCTAAGGCCGTGAACTGAAGCCCCAGACCATGAACTCGGCACTGTTAGGCAAATATAAAGACAACAACAGGGAGAGAGAAAGGGGAGCTTGTTTTTGGAAGAGAATTTGATTCTCTCTCTAGGGTTTCGACTCAAAACACCAAAGGGGAGTTCTAGTGAGAGAGAGAGAGAGAGAGAGAGAGAGGGTTCTTGAGTGTTCTTAGATGTATGTGACAGGTTCCACGTTTGATTGTTTGATTGATGATTTTACTTAATTGATGGATGTTTTCATGAATTGCATGAGTTGGGTTTCCATTTTCATGTTTTGAGCTTTTGACCTAGGAGGGAGAAAATCCCCTTAGAGCCCATTATTGGCATCTTTGGGTCACTCCTCATCCTATATCGTTCGGGTGATCCCCGAGGGATTTGATTCCATCAATCTCCTATAATATAGGGTTCCCTAGGTTAAATAAAGCATACCCCATTCATCGATTTGCCATTCCTGGTCATTCCCAAGGGAGTCCATCTCCTAACGGTAGAGTATTTGAGTCGATCGAACTAGGAGGATACTCAACATTGATCCAAAGTACGGACCTCGGATGATTTAACCCAAGAGAGCTCCAAACCTTGTAAATAGCTAGGTTAGTGGTTAGTTTAGGGTGGTTAGTTTTGTTTTATTAATCACTATCCTAGGTTAGCTAGATAACGAACCCTAAACCGAAGTAAGGTAAGCCTAGATTCCCATGGTTCGATAAATTATTATTGATTGCTTGCTTGCCCTATGCTACACCCGGTCAGTGGTTATACTTGGTCGTCGATAGGGATGTTGTAGTTGCAACGAGTCATAATTCCTGCTCTGGTTAGGCAGGATGAACCGAGACTTGTTTCAGCACTTCCAGCCGAAGACGAGGAAGTGGAGATTGAGAAGTAAGTGCCTGCTCCCAAACCACAACCAATGGTTAAGGAGCATGTTCCCCAACTTCCTTTCCCCCACTCGTATGCACAAGGACAAGCAGGAGGCCGAGTTTTCCAAGTTCATGGCAATGTTGAAGCAGATCAACATCAACATACCGTTCGTGGAGGCACTGTCGAAGATGCCCAAGTACGCAAAAATTCATGAAGAATCTCCTCACCAATAAGAAGAAACTTGCGGATCTATCGACAGTGATGTTGAGTGAGGGGTGTTCTGCCATCCTGCAAAACAAGCTGTCCGAGAAGCGGAAAGACCCATGGAGTTTTACTATTCTTCTTGTTATTGGCAGGATGCATGTAGGAAAGTTCTTGGCGGACCTAGGCGCCAGCATTAATGTCATGCCCTATAATTTGTTTACGAAGCTAGACCTAGGTGAACCCAGAACCACTAGGATGAGTATTCAGTTAGTCGACCGATTGAGTGTGCGTCCTAGGGGTATCATTGAGGACTTGCTTGTTAATGTGGGTGCATTCACATATCTTGTCGATTTTGTTATCTTAGAATGAAAATGTGGATGTGCCTTTGATTTTGGGTGGACCATTTCTCGCCAACCCCAAGGCATTGATTGATGTGCATAGGGCTGCAAATGAGCCAAGCCGCTCGCGAGCAACTCGGCGTTCGAATCGGAAAAAACTCGTTCGACACTCGACTCGTTATTTAACAAGCCGGCTCGCGAGCCAACTCGTTAGTTAACGAGCCAAGCCTGAGCTAGACCATGCTCGGCTTGATAAGCTCGCGAGCTAGCTTGATTCGGTGGCTTGTCGAGCTAAGCTCGCGAGCTGCCTTGTTTTGAGCTTGTGGAAGGATGAATTACTCTTTTAAATATGAACATTGTCTTATAATACAGATGTGTATGAAATTTAGATGTTATTTCTAGTTTCTAGTGTTCTTTCTATCATTTAAATTCTTATGTTTATACATTTTTCCAGCAAAAATGATTTTAAATCGAGCTCATCTTGAGCCGAGCTTGTACTCAGCTTAACAAGCTATGTTAATGAGCATTTATCGAGCTCTACCGAGTCGAGCTCGAGCTAGATTATTTTTATTCAAGCCGAGCTCGAGCTCGAGCTGGATTATCAAAATTCGAGTTCGAGCCGAGCTCGAGCTGAAAAATTAAGAAACGAGCCGAGCTCAAGCTAAGCAAAAACTCGACTCGACTCGGCTCGTTTGCAGCCCTAGATGTGCATAGTGGTAAGGTAATTTTGAGGGTTGGGAATAACAAGCTACATTTTTTGTGTCCAATAATACAAAGCATTCCCATATGCATGATGACTTGGATTACTGTGACATTATAGCTGATTTTGAAACCACACTCGTGATGACGAGTGCGGGTGTTGTTGATGTTCATGAGCGTTGTATTTTGCTAGGTGAGCAGGCATCGCAGGAGCTGCAACTAGAGGAGCAGTTGCCAGCGCTAGAGCGTGGCGAGTTCCTTGAGGTCGAGAAGTCGTTCAAGTCGATTTCATCCTCGAACTGTATCACCAACTCTTTATCAAGTTGATGGACGTGGGAATCATCTTCGCCATTTCCGACAAATAGTGCGTTAGTCCCACTCAGGTGGTGCCTAAAAAGGGAGGGATGATTGTGGTCCCAAATGAGATTATGAGAAGAATGAGCTCATCCCAATGAGAACGGTGATTGGGTACCGCAATTTCATTGACTATCGACGCCTCAACGACATCACAATGAAGGATTATGTCCCTTTGCCATTCATTGACCAGATGCTCGAGAGGTTGGCGAGATACAAGTTTTATTGTTTCCTGGATGGGATGTCCGAGTATTTTCAAATTCCCATAGCACCAGAAGACCAGGCAAAGACCACCATCACCTGCCCCTTTGGCACATTTGCCTACCGGCAAATTCCCTTCGGGCTTTGCGACGCCCCTGCCATGTTCTAAAGGTGTATGCTCGCCATCTTCAACGTCTGGTCGGAGAAATCATGAAAGTATTCATGGAAGACTTTTCGGTTTATGGGGACTCATTCTCTCGTTGTCTCCATAACCCTGAACTCGTCTTGAAAAGATGTGAGGAGACGAACCTGGCGCTGAGCTGGGAGAAATGCCACTTCATGGTTCGAGAAGGCATAGTGTTGGGGCATAAAATTTCCAAGATGGGAATCAAGGTGGACAGAGCCAAGATTGAGACGATTAGCAAGCTTCCTCCTCCAACTTTTGTGAACGGAGTTTGTAGTTTCCTGGGCCATGCAGGGTTCTATCTGCGTTTCATCAAGGACTTCTAGAAGATCGCCTTGTCACTAACGAAGCTTCTTGAGAAGGATTCCCCCTTCCATTTCACTAACGCGTGCACAAAAGCATTCACGACCTTGAAGGAGAAGCTCACTAATGCTCCTATCATGGTCACTCCCGATTGGACCTTACCATTTGAGCTGATGTGTGACGCGAGTGACTTCACGATTGGAACTATTCTGGGGCAGAGGTAAGATCAGCATTTCCGGCATTCTATTATGCATCGAAGAACCTCAATGATGCCTAGAAGAATTACACCACCACAGAGAAGGAGCTGCTAGCGGTGGTGTTCGCATTTGACAAATTCTTCCCTTACGTGGTTTTGCCCCGCCTGGTCGTCTATACCGATCACTCCGCCATTAGATACCTGATTTGCAAGGCTGACGCCAAGCCTAGGCTCATATGATGGATCTTGTTGTTGCAGGAGTTCGACATTGAAATCTGGGACAAGAAGGGAGCCGAAAATATTGTTGTTGATCATCTTTCCAGGTTGGACTCCCATCTGGTGGACAATTTCGTGGAGTAGATCAGCGAATCCTTTCCAGATGAGCGGTTGATGATGATGTTTATGGTGGAGAATGTCACCCCTTGGTTCTCCGACTTCGCGAACTATCTGGTTCGCCAGCACTACTTCAGGGACGATCCACATCTCTTCATGATTGGAGTTGACGGGGTCATTCGTCGTTGTATCATGGACAATGATATGGAGGGCATTCTCATTAACATGAAGGACCTACTAGCGGGCACCATGGCCGTAACTACACGGCGACGAAGGGACTACAGTCAGGCTTTTATTGGCCCTCGCTTTTCAAGGATGTTGGCGCCTTCGCACGCAGGTGCGACCGATGCTAGAGATCATGTAACATTTCTACCCAAGATGAGATGCCCGAGAATGTGTTTGTGATTACGTCTCTAGAGCACAGTCTTTGCCCACTAATGATGCCAGACGTGTTTGTCAGTTTCTTAAGCAGCTATTCTTCCAGTTCGGGATGCCTAGAGCCATCATTAGAGACAAAGGCACCCACTTTCAGGGTCAATTTTTTAAGTAGCTCTATCGCTATGGTGTCACTCACAAGGTGTCCCTATCCTACCACCCGCAAACGAGTGGGCAGGCCGAGCTGACGAATCGGGAGCTCAAACACATAATTGAAAAACGGTGGATCAATCCCGTAAGGATTGATCCACCAAACTCGATGATGCTCTGTGGGCATATCAGACTCCCTACAAGACGCTGATTGGTACTTCTCCATATCGGCTCGTCTATGGAAAGGCATGTCACTTGCCAGTCGAGCTAGAGCACAAGGTCTTTTAGGCCCTTAAGCTTTGAAACTTGCATGTGAGCCTTGCAGGTGCTGAAAGCAAGATGCAGATTTTGGAACTGGAGGAATTGTGTCACCACGCTTACAAGAACACCAAGTTGTACTAGGAGCGGACAAAGCGTATCCACGATGCTCGTTTGAGGGCCCCGAAGAAGTTTCAGGTTGGCGATCGAGTTATTCTTTATAACTCTCGCCTGAAACTCTTTCTAGAAAAGCTCCGTTCCAGATGGTTGGAACCATTCACGGTCACGCAGGTGTTCCCGTATGGCACTATCGAGATTGCCAACCTGCGAATTGAGTCATTTAAAGTAAATGGCCACCGCCTTAAGCTGTATCTGGGAGGCGAGGTCGAATGCGTGAAGTTGGTGGTTGAACTCGCGGACCCTTAGTTCCGTCGGCTGCGTCTAGCTAAAGATGTAAAAGAAAGCGATTGTGGGGAGGCAACCCCACCTTGATTTGCATTTCTTTTCCTTTTTCTATTAATTTTTGGTCTTTGCGTCGTTTGGTGTGTGTCGAAGAAGTTGGATGCCTCATTTTTGTGGAAAATTGTCAATTCCGGGGTTGCAGGGGTTTTGCACGGCCAGACCACAGGAGCGCATGGCCGCGTAATTCCCAGCCTTGCCCGTGCATAGACTCTAGAAATATCGCACGGAAAGGAGGGGTCCTTACACGGCCGTACAAAATCCTCGGCCTTCCCGTACAAATTCCTCGGCCGCGCACCGGCAGATTTTGGATCCATACGGTCGTACAACCAGCCCATGCGACACGCCCAGAACGCCTATAAATAGGCGGTACGGCGGTGCAACCCCAATTTTTTAACCCTTCTCGCTGGAATCCTCTCCCTCTAGCCGGAAAATCACGATTTTCCGATCTCTTGGCCAATTTTCTGTCGTTTTCGGTCTCTTTTCGCGAAACCAAATCTAGGCCCATTCACCTTGCCAGCCTCTCCCTTCCTTTTGGGTCACCAGAGGCGGTTTCCGGCTATATTCTGGCGATGCTTCGATGAGCAATCTCCAGACAGAATTTTGGATTTTTGTGACTTCCATTGCCTTTCCCTTACCACCCCTTACACCTCTACTTGAGTCTCCAAGTTTGTTTTTTCCCTTTACCTTATGAATTGTGGAGAATTGGGTGATAGGGCGTTTAGGTAGAGAATTGGTTTGAAATGCATGATTTGGTAGAAATTGACCGAGGGGAATGCTTGGTTAGGTGTTGAATACATTGTGACATGCTTATTTTGTTCATGCACACAAGGTGTTCAATAAAATGCTTGTTTTTCATACCCTTTTGTGGGTGTTGGTTAATGTACTTAATGACGTGATCCGATGATGTGATTGGTATGGTTATGAACCTGTTGTTGCTTACTTTCATGTTTGGAGACACCCCCGTCTTGATTGTGCTTTGTTGATTGAGTTTTCACCTCATGAACTATGGATGGCACCATGGTTCAAATTTATTTGAAGTCAAGTGTGGGGGTGTGCTAACCTTCTCCTGGCTGCTTTGTTGGCTCCACTTTGGTTCTTTTTATTGCAGTTGCATGTCAAAGCCCTACCTTAAGCATCAGTTCATCCAAGATCTAAAGTCGGGGCCCCACAAAGCCCAGTTTAAGCGTGTCCTGTCGTCTAAGTTTGGCAAGCACCATTTTTGGAGCAAGAAAGCATTATAGAGCATCAACTGCTATGATGCCCTCCATGTTGTTGCTCGCAACCAGATGTGGTGTTGCTTACTATCCCTGCATGATCGGGTCTATTATGAGTTGGTGGTTGAGTTCTACTCCACTTTTGACCACACTGAGACCACTGATTTGAAGAACAATGAGGCTATCAAGTTCAGGTTGGGCGGAGAGTACCACTCCATGAGCTACCACGAGTTTGCTGCTACCTTCAACCTCGGGCCGACTACACTCATGACTTCAACGTCGAGGTCGCCAACCCGACTGGTGTCTCTTTCCAGACCTGCTACCGCCAGCTTGCTAGGCCATCTTCTGACACCACTGTTGAGGATTTCACCTCCAGTCAGGCGAAGGCCAGCATGCTGCAAACCCAGTATCATATCCTCCACCACTTATTGACGAAGTCCTATGCTTCGAGTAGTGAGAGTGCGAGCACACTGACCAAGCGAAGACTTTCGCCAAGAGTGTTGTGACTCTGGGGACCCTCCACTGCTCTCCACTTATGATTGTGTTGGCCACCCACCATCAAATCGATTACTAGGATTGCACGCCCCAGGACGGGACATGGTCTTTTGTGGAGGACACGGTTTATGCGGTTGTTGCGGGAGTCGCGAGGAGTCAAGTGGGTCGAGGGACTGCCTATATCGGCCATCCCTAACCCAACTGAGATGGAGGAGGATGTCGAGCCTAGGGCTGAGTATGCGGCTACTTCCCACCCAACCTTTCACCACAACACCTTTGAGCATGGGGGTAGCAGCTCCTCTGTCGCGTCCTATATTACTTCTCCCGCTAGTTCGAGCAGATGGGTCTCCAGTTTCAGCAGCTAGGTATCCAGAACTAGCAGATCATATATCATCAGGTTCACTTTCAGTAGAAGTATGATGCCCATCACACAAAGTACACCTCCCGCATGGCTGCTTATGACGAGCGTGTTAACTGCATGAATTCTCAGGTGGGCGTCACCCTCGCTCATATCGAGCGTGAGCGCGACCGGGCCTATAGGATGCAGAAGGCGCAACAATACTTACTTAAGCAGGTCCGGGTAACCCACCCACCTGACAGACCCCTTGGGAGGCCTCGCCACTACCACTACCTCCGCTGAGTGACAATGACTTCATGAGGGACATCGATTTCGACATCCCCGAGCGACGAGTAGGATGTATTCATCAAACCCTTCAGTGTGTTCTTTTGTGTTTTTGTGTTCTGTTTGCTCCATGTGTTTGCGGAACCTGAACTGCATCATTTGTGGTTTGTTTTCCTTTTTCTTTTGGATATTGTGACATTGGACTGACAACTCTTCCTAACGATGTTGTGTTTGAGTGGTTTTTTTTTCTTCGCTCGTGTTCTTGCCACGACTGGTCCCACTTCCAGTCCCACTTCCACTCTCCAGTCATGATGCAGTCTGTTCTTCCTGATAACATCATTCCCCTTAAGTGTGGGGGTGTTTCTATTGAGGGCATTGTCGAACATAAGTGTGAGGGTGTTTTTACTTGACTGCTTGGATGTGTTTGTGTGCTTGGAGCCTAGTCCACTGTCCAAATTTTGATTTGAGGGCTCCAAGTACGTGTTCCTAGCATGCCTGCTTAGTATGCTTTGAATTGACAGCCTCTATGGTACCATGCAACCTAGGGAGGTAGTTGTAGCACTATGGAGGATGATAAAGTATAAGATCCTTCCTATCTTTCTCTTTGCTATGTCGGTTGATTATGTGAACTAGTGGTTTTAGGACCTTTGATTCATGTGGTATCGATGACTCTCCTGGTTCTGTGTGTATGGACTTATGTATCGTGGAAGGGTGCTCAGTGTGCATAATGAAAAAGCAGTTGGTCCTCCATGTCAACAATTTGAAATTTTGCACATGGAGTAAGCCCAACGTTTGTGGCACCGTTCATTGCGAAAAATCAAGTTTTGGAAGAGATTTGATTTATCCTTAGTGGGGGAGTCATACAAGGTGAAGCTAAGCCGTCTCTAGTACAAGTACAAATTCCACCCGTTGAATGGTTTGCCTACTCAATGATGTGTTTTTAAGGGCACGATTAGAGCTTCCGACCCCCCTTAATTTCATTGACCCTCCACACAAATTGAGGAAAAGGAGTTAAAAGAAGTACTCTAGCGAGCGACAAATGTACAGAAATTGCTCTTGCTCAACCAATAAGGGTCGACCGCGCAACTACATTTTGGAACCCCGACAGAGTGTAGAAACAAAAACAAAAACATAATGAAAAGGGGTTCCAATGAAGGAAATGGAATGGAAAGAGCACCCGATACGAAGAGTCTTTGGTTGTTGTGCTGTGTATGTGATACCTGGACTTCGATTTAGGTTTAACATCAAGTACTGAATCAGTTGGACCAAATAAATTAAGCCAAAATTTTGTCCCATCACACCCTGGGCCCAAGTTGGAAAATTTTGAAAAGAGCAATGAGTAACTCAAATCTATTCGATGCTACCGAGCTAGATGAGAATACCTTTTATGGTCAAGAGTACATATAAGAACTATAGTAAGCTATTCAAGACAAGGTAAGGGCACACCATTGAAGTTCATATAGCAAGAGTGAAATCTTGACCTAAAGAAGCACGAGAATGAGGAAATGTTACACCCCGCTCTTCCCAAAAGTCAAAATGACCATTATACCCGTGGGTCAAGTTCCACCGTATTATCGATGAGGATTAAAAATGTGAACTAATAGTTCAAACGGCGTCGAGTTTCGACACGAAGTGAGAAAATTACGGATGTTAGTTGAGTTTCGGATTAAACTCACCCGTAATTGTGAAATTCCAAAAATACCCTTTGACTAATTAAACCCTACTCGGCCTCACCCTAAAACCTAATAAAGCAGCCTTTTATTTCTTTCTCCTCCGAAAGCAACGTGCTCTCCGGACCTGGGAAATTAAAGCAAAGCGGCGCCACTACTCCCTCTACTACGAGTGCTGCTTTCGACTCCGTGTTATTGCCATCATCAGGAATCGCAGTGCATATCATTCCCTCCACTGCTCGTCTCTGTGTTATTATCAGGAGGAGAATCACTGTAAGTAGGCAGGAGGCGGCTTGCTCTTGGGAAATCAAACAGGCAGGAGGTGGCGGTGGGATTCGCTCTCGGCAAATCAAAGCAAAGCGGCGCCATGGACAAGGGACGCTCCACAGGGGAAGGAGGCAGGAGGCGGCTTGCTCGCAGGTAGGAGGCGGCTTGCTCGAGGGAAATCAAACATGCAGGAGGTGGTGGTGGGACTCGCCCTCATCAAATCAAAGCAAAGCGGCGCCATGGACAAGGGATGCGGAGAATAATAGTTCCCTCTACAATGAGAGCTGCTTGCGGCTTCATATCATCCACACAGGAGCTAACAATGACCATGAGAAGAACTTGAGGGAAAAAAGCCCGCAGTCGATGCTCATCAATCAGTTCTCCATCGGCTTCAAATCGTCCACACAGGAGCTAACAATGACCATGAGACGAACTTGCTCCTGTGTGGACGATTTGAAGCCGATGGAGGACTGATTGATGAGCATAGACTGCGGGCAGCAAGTTCGTCTCATGGTCATTGCTAGCTCATGTGTGGACGATTTGAAGCCAATGGAGGACTGGTTGATGAGCATCGACTGCGGGCTTTTTTCCCTCCTATTACGAGAGTTGCTTGCTTAAGCAAGCTCGTCTTTTTGTTATTGCCATCTCCTTGACCTAATGACCAAAGCCCATTTAAATTCCATTTGCCAAGCAAGCTGGTCCATTTAAATTCTATATGCCAAGCAAGCTGCTCCATTTTATTCAAGAAAGTATGAGTGTAATAGGGTTGGAAGCGAGCAATGCAGTCAAAAGCGAGTTTCTACGTAGAAACGTTTTGGTGATCTAGAAGCATAAAATCGTAAATTTTTAAGTTTTAAAGCGGAGTTTTTAACTATATAAGTTATAAAAACTGAGATTTTGTGTAGAAGCGTTTTAGTGACCTAAAAACGTAAAATCGTAAGTTTTTAAGTTTTAAATCGCGATTTTGACTACATTGGAAGCGAGTATGGAAACTTTGGAGCAAAACAGAGCCAGTTCCGACGGAAGTAAGGTGAGTGTAAATGGGGTAAATTCTACGCCTTACGGTTTTTCAAATATTTGTCTTGAGTATTTTCTAGTTTTGATTTACGTGATGTATGTGCAGTGTTTGATTCATGTTTGAGATTGCATGATTATGTTTGATAGTATGTGCTTTGGTTGAGCTATGATTTGGAGTGAAGGTGTATGAGTTTATCTCTTACTTTGAAGTTTACATTTATGGTGATTATTAAAGCTTAAGAACAATCCCTTTTAAGAAATACCTCACCTTCGAAGAAGGTGAAATCATTTTGTGTTTTTAGTTACTAGCGCCAGTCCGTTTCCATTTGAGATTTTAAGTTAGAACAACAGTTATGCTCTTGAGATCTGTGGGACAGAGCAGCAGTTATGCTCTTGAGATATTTAAGTTGAGAAGCCGTTATGCTCTTGAGATTTTTAAGATGAGCAGCAGTTATGCTCTTGAGAAACGTGGAAGAAGAGCCTTCCACGATAAGTTAAGTTTAAGGAAAGCCTTAGTGGCTTCTCATACATATGAGTTGGCAACTGGACTAGCTAGTGAGGGATCCCCGTGTCAGTCAAGTATTTAAGTTGAGATTTAAGCTTTAAGAATGGAGATTAACAGTTACTCCCATACAGTTTTAAGAGTTAAGAATTTTAAGAATGGAAGTACAAACAACTTCCCTCAGTTTGAGTTTAAGTGTTTGAGAAGAAGTGCAAAATTATTAGAAAGTTTAAAAGGTAAGGGCGTAGACTGACCCTAACTCACTCACCAGGCCTTAGTAACGAAATGAGCGAGAACCAGATCGGTAGCAGCCAGCTAGAGGAGCAGTTAGAGAACAGCGAGTTTGAGAGGAAAAGTTCGAGGGCAGCCAGCTAGAGGAGGGCAGTGCAAGCGTCACGGAGGATGCCTAGTTAAGATTTTCAGTAGCAGCAACGACAGAGACTACCTAGTTATTTACATTTTATGATTATGAGTATAGACTAGAGATCATATTGAGATTTTAAAGTTTGAGTTTAATTAGCTCACATGTTAGGGTTTTGCTTTGAACTACAAGTGTGTGTTTCCGGTATTTTATTTATAAAAAATTTTCCCACTGCAATTTAGATTTGAGTATTTTATTTATCAAGGACATTTTAGTAAAAGTAGTACCCGGGCGGGTTAGGGTGTTTCATTTTGGTATCAGAGCCGGTCTTCCTCTGTTCCTTGGTCTCCAAGGAATACTGGAATGTCGGTCTCAGTTTTTAAAGGTTTTGTTTTAAAGGAAAGAAAAATGAGTCAAGGGTCTCCTATTAAGTGTCTATAGAATCTCTCAGTTTTTAAAGGTTTTGTTTTAAAGGAAAGAAAAATGAGTCAAGGGTCTCCTATTAAGTGTCTATGGAATCTCCAGTCTACTCTAATTGTTACACCCCTCTCTTCCCAAAATTCAAAATGACTGTTATACCCTTGGGTCAAGTTCCACCGTATTATCGATGAGGATTAAAATGGTGAACTATCGGTTCAAGCGGTGTTGAATTTCGACATAAAATGAGAAAGTTACGGACATTAATTGAGTTTCAGATTAAACTCACCAGCAAGTGTGAATTTCCTCAAATAACCTTGGACTAACTAAAACCCTAGACTTTTATTCTACCCCACTCGGGCTCACCCCAACGGAAAAACCCTCGCAGCCTTTCACCTCACCACCGAACCCTTCGGAAAAGAAATAATGGACCGCCGGCAACGAAGAACCGATCGCCAGTCAATAATCTGCACACACAAGCTTCTCCATTAGTAGTCTTTTTATTCCGCCTCCAAGTTTCCCGTTAGACCGCGGAGAATGTTTTCAAAGTTCCAAATTGCTGTCGATAACGCGAGGAAATTGCTTTTTGGGGCCAATAAAACGCAGGGCTCCTCATCGCCTTTTACCCAGTGTAGTAGCTTGAGCAGCAGCGCCGATATGGTGGAGCAGCCAAGAGGTGGCGGACTTGGGAAATCAAGGTAAAGGGGGGCCCTCTATGCGAGCTGCTTGCTCGGTTGGGGGAACCAGGGAGGAGGCGGCGTTGCAGAGATTATGAGTTGGGGAAAGTGTCGAGCTTGTTGGATAGGGTGAAAGGTGATGGTCAATCTTCAATTGATGGATCAATTATAGCTCTCCTCGTTGTTCATGGGCTCTGCCAGGTTTCCAGAGTTGAAGAAGCTTTGTGATCATTGGCTGAGTTGAGAATTAGGCACTGCAAACCTGATTTCATGGCATATAGAATAGTCGCTGAGGCATTTAGAACAACAGGAAGTGTGGTCGACGTGAACATAGTTCTGAAGATGAAGAGGAAGATAGGAGTAGCACCGAGGTGTGATGACTATCGAGAGTTCATTTTTGGGTTAATAGCTGAGAGACGGATAATGGAAGCCAAAGAACTAGGTGAAGTGATTGTGCATGGCAATTTCTCTATTAAAGATGATGTTTTGAACGCACTGATTGGATCAGTGTCATCAATCGACCCTTGTTCTTCGATTATGTTCTTCGATTACATGGATATGGAAGAAGGAGAGGAGCATTGGCGGGTTCGGCAACAATAAATTAGGTCATGATGGTAGGGCATCGACACGTTGTTTTCTAGATGGAATCTCGGTGGATGATTCCATTGCCGAGGTAAAGACATGAATGCTTACCTCTCCCATGAATGATTAGCACGGTAAAGACATCAATTAGTTAGTGGACGGGGAGATTTCATCTCAAAGAGGATTAGGTCCAGGTGGTACATGGCCATGCAAAAAAGATGGTGTTGTGGAAATTGATAATAGGAATTGAGGGTCCTCTTTTTTCATTCGGTCGAGCTGGCATACAAAGGAGAAGGAGCACTTATTTGATTTGATGGCAACAGGTCCTTGGACTGGGGAGAGCTCTTGAAATAATACAAAGGAGATTTGAATTGCATGGAGACTTAACCGAGGTACCCTGGTCAATTCAAAGCGTTCGTAATGAGGTGAGTGTAAAGGGGGTAAATTCTACGCCTTACGTATTCTTTTAAGTATTATGATTTCAATTATTTTGGTGAATTGGTTACCATTGCTTGATTTTGTTTATGATTGATTATTTTGTGCTTTGCTTGTGCTATTTGAGGTGATTGGGGTGATTTTGTGCTATTTACCTTAAAGTGTTATGTTATGAGTTATTGTTAAAGTTTAAGAAGCAAGTTCTTTTTAAGAAGTAACTCACCTTCAAGAAGGTGAAGTCGTTTTGAGAGTTTTTAGTCACTAGCGCCAGTCCGTTGCCATTTGAGATTTTCAGATAGAGCAGCAGTTATGCTCTTGAGATCTTTGATACCAGAGCAGCAGTTATGCTCTTGAAACTTTTAAGATGAGCAGCAGTTATGCTCTTGGGAATCGTGGTGAAGAACCACCACGATAAGTTTAAGATGTTAGGGGGATGAATCGTTACGACTTCCCTAACTAAGTTTAAGTTTAAGGAAAGCCTGAATGGCTTCTCATACGTATGAGTTGGCAACCGGACTAGCTAATGAGGGATCCCCGTGTCAGTCAAGTATTTAAGTCAAGTTTTGAGCTTTAAGAGAGAGGAGAGTAACTTCAACTCCCTCAAAGTTTAAGAGTTAAGATTTGAAGATTGGAGGTACAAACAACTTCCACTAGTCAAAGTTAAGTGTTTAAGTAAAGTACTCAAGTATTAGAATTATTAAAACGTAAGGGCGTAGACTGACCCTAACTCACTCACCAGGCCTTAGTAAGGGAATGAGCGAGAACCAGATCGGTAGCAGCTAGCTAGAGGAGCAGTTAGAGAGCAGCGAGTTCGAGAGGAAAAGTTCGAGAGCAACCAGCTAGAGAAGGGCAGTGCAAGCGTCACGGAGGATGCCTAGTTAAGATTTTCAGTAGCAGCAACGACAGAGACTACCTAGTTATTTACGTTTTATGATTATGAGTATAGACTGGAAAACAGATTGAGATTTAAAGTTTGAGTTTAATTTGCCCACGTGTTAGGGCTTTGCTCTGAACTACAAGTGTGTGTTTTCAGAATTTTATTTGTGAAAATTTTTCCCGTGACAATTTTAAGATTTGAGCATTTTATTTACCAAGGGCATTTTAGAAAAAGTAGTACCCGGCCGGGTTAGGATGTGTCACTAATCCTATTAAGATAAATAACTTTATTCCTAATAAAGGGTGCGATCATACCAGCACTAATGCACCGGATCCCATCAGAACTCCGAAGTTAAACGTGCTTCGGCGAGAGTAGTACTAAGATGGGTAGCCCTATGGGAAGTCACCTTGAATTGCACCCCAAGCCGAAAAGCGTGAGGGTTGATTCCTAAAGCGGACAATATCTTCGTCGGGAAAAGGTTCGGGATGTTACAGTGTAAGTCTCTTTATACATGAATTATCTGTCATGGGCCCACTGCTTTGCATGATCCTGGCTCGAGTCTAGTACTCACATTGAGAGAAATATGGAATATCTTAGAAGACTGGTTGACCTCGTAAGCTGGTAAATTATCTAGGAAGTCCTCTACCGACGATCGGGGTTGCATGTTGCTGTAGAGGTCTAGATTGCATTGGTTTGAGACATGCTTGCTCGGGGACAAGCAAACGGTTAAGTGTGGGGGGATTTGATGAATCGATATTTGCACATGATTTGTGCACCATTCTTATACTGTGTGAGGCTCATTTCTCGTGTTTTAAACCGATTTCACGTTAGTTTGTTCTTGTTAGTGACATTTCAGGTCCTAGTACGTGAATGAAGGCTTGGGCACGAGTTTGGGGTTGATTGGACGAAATTAGGACATTTGACGGAAAGTTGAGGAAAATACGCGACTTGCTCATAATTTTACGGGCCGTGTGGTCTGGCCGTACGCTTGGGACTACGCGACTAGGGTCGTAATGTCTGTGTAAGGGTACCCTTTGGCCGTGCGGGTTTTCCAGGATAGTTACACGGGCAAGGCTGCATTCCACGTGGTCGTACATCCTGGCCGTGTGTCGACCACGAGCAACAAATCCGAACGCCGCATTTTGGGAGTTACATGGGCAGACACGAGATTCTACATATACGCGTTGGCCGTGTAATCGGGCAAATATGGGTTTTCAACCCAACTTCGGGTTTGTGAAGAGGGGATCCGAGTTTTAGAGTAGAAAACAGAGAGTTAGAGAGAGAAAGTGACGAACCCATCCTCCAAGGTGATCTAGATCGAGTTTTGATACCATTGGAGCTCGATTGAAGCCTGGAGAAGTACTAATTGACAACCAGAAGCTAAATTCTATCCTCTACAAGATGATTTCTGCATATGAAGTTGATTTCCTCTCTCTCCATGGAGTAAACTCCCTCTCTCGCCTGGGTATGAAGAACCCTAGAGTTGTATGTTAGGTTGATTGTATGAACCCAAGTACATGACATTTTGATATTGATTATATTCAATTGAGGCATGATTTCAGACTGCATGAGTCTTGATCACATTCTTGTAGTTTATTCTTTGACCTAGAAAGAGAATATCTACATAGGTTGATAGAGCACCCTTGATTGAAGGTGGTGAATTGACTACTTTAGTTGAGAAGTCAGTTCACCGCTCTGTAATGGATTTGATCCAGTAGAGGAGGTTTTGCATGTTAGGGCCTCAATTTGTTTATTCCGGTGGAGTTTAGTCGCCCGCCGGGTATTTAGATTGGGAGGGTCTGAAGACCTTTAGTCGAGACTTCAGACTGAATAAGAACCTTCCAAAATATAAGTATCATTATATCTAAACTTGGTGAATTACAATTCGACTTACCTGCAATCTAGGGGGAACCATATCCGGGTGGCCTTTCTCAAACTTGAATCACAACTTTACTGCTTTGTGTTTGCTTAGATTAGATACAACTTCACTACGTTCAAACTACTAAATAATGAGAACTTCACGGAGTAGTCATAACATCTAGGACTCGGGTTGACAATTAAAGCTAAACTCGCTATACTACGCATTAGTTTGTGGTTACACTTGGCCACTTTATAGTGTGACGGTATTGGCGAGTCAAGGACCAAATCCAAAATATGTAGAAATCCCACAAGCGGAAGCCCAATAAGAAGCCAACATCAAGGGACAAAAACTAGAGTGTTAGACACCTTCTGATGAAATGTACATAGACAAGACATAAATTTTAAGGCTCCGACCATCACATTAATGGTCTAGTAGGCACCTGATCAATGTACACATTTCTCAACTTGTATACATATGAATTCTCTCGTGGGAAATAAACAAGCCATATACATTGACTACTACTTTTCTCTACTTTCTCTCTTTATGTTTTTTCTCTCTACTTCCATATCCATTTGGGATGTGTGAAGCGCTTGGCAATAGAAGAATAGCTAAGTCATAAAATATCTTTGACCCAACTGCCCTTCCCTCGAAAGGTGCCTAACACATGAGTTGCCGAAAAATTATAACTTACTACCTATGTGTTTTATATTTATAATTTGATATCTAAACTTCAACTTTCATACAAATTAATCTTCAAAAAATATATTTTGATACCTAAATTTTTTTATGCGACTTTGGATCCATTTGTTTTAGGGTAATGTCTATTTTTTATCCAAACATTTTTTAGATTATTTTATATTATCCAAACCTATTAAAATGCTACTAATTAGCCAAATCTTTGGTAATGCATCAAAATATTAGTCATTTTTACATTATTGTTAACAATTTTGTAACTCTTTTCTTTGTTAAAGTACTAAAATTTTGCAATGTTGACCTTCATGTGTCTTTTTCAAGGCAGTATCATGTTGCCAAATCAATATTACTAACATAATTGCTAACTAAAAATTAACATTTGACAAATTCTTAATATTTCGATAGATTTAAGTAATATAACAATATCTAAAAAATGTTTGAACAAAAAATAGAAATTACCTATCCATTTTTTAAAATTCATCAGAAATTCAGAATTCCGAACGACAGGGGACGAGTCCATAACTTGACTTCATACTCTCTCTGTGTCTGAATCGAGTGCTGCTGACTTGAGGGAAGAAGGAAGTCAGCAGGCCATTGAAAGGGGCGAGCGACTCCATTTTTTTCTTATTTCTTTCTTTCTCATTACCTTTCACTGGATTGCAAAATTTTGGAAACATTTTAAATTTTGATCAATCCCGCAAATGATTTGAACTTCAAGGGAAGGGAGGCGAGATAGGCAGATTCAGTATGGCATATCGGAGAAGGGGACAGCCCTCACCGTCGCCGTTGTCTTACTATTATTCATACGAGAATCAGAGGGATGAGGGAAAGGGGAGAGAAGATGAGGAAAGAGCAGCGCAAGATTCAACTTCGACTGCCACCGGACTTGCCTCCAAAGCCATCAGAGCATCCTCCGCCGCCCAAACCCTCCGAGATTCCTCCCTTTCCTCCGCTTACGCCTTGCCTCCTTCTCCTTCCTCTTCCTCCTCATCTGCTCCTTCTTTCTCCGCCAATGCTTCTGCTGCCGCTGCTTCCAAGGTATTATCTTCATTCCCTTTCCTTGCTGAGTTTTCGATTTTCTTTTATGTGATTTGGTTTCCGAGTTCCCGATTCTGGTCCCAACTCTTAGTTTCCTTGTTACAGAATCCCGCCCACAATCCCCACGCTTATACTTCCATGAGTAGCTTCAACCAATCTAATCGCAATCGCAATATCAATCCCAACCCCGATCCCAATCCCAATCCCAAACCAGGTGGTTTTTGGGGTTCTCTTGCTAGAAAAGCTAAATCCTTTCTCGATGACGATGATGATGACGATGAAAGTGAAAATGGGCAGCAGCGGAATCGGCTCCCGCGAACCCAGTACCAACAAGACCGTGATTTCGTGCCCCGACAGCACCAGCAACCTCACTCTCCTCCCCCGGATCCTCAGCCGTTGTCTGAACCGTCTACCTCTTCACCCAAGGTCATATACTTTTTTGCTGAGCTCTCTAACATTTGGTGGTTGCTCCTTGATAGTTTTTTTTTGTGTTGTGTAAACAAAGTTCTACATTTTAGCAAGCTGGAGTAGAAATGCCTTTTCTTTTTCTCTCTAATGCCAGTCGTGATGCTGCAGAGTGATACTCGCCACCCTCCACTGCAAGACGACCGTAAAAAGAAAGAAGGTCCTGTGCTACGCAAAGGGCTCAATGCAATTTCATCTTCCCTTAACTACATTGGCAATGCTGTTGAGGTTTGAGTGCTTACATGGAACTACTCTTCAAGTCATATTTTTCTTCTTTCTGCAACTGATATTCACTTGTTTTATTAACGGAAAAAGACCAACGTGGCTTCTGCTTTGCTTAATCTCATCTACAATTTAGCATCTTTGACATAAAATCTTTCAGCCAACAGTTAATTATGGATTGGCCGCCTATGTAGCTGTGGGAGACGAATCTGCAACCACAGTAGGATGTTTTGTTATTTTAATTAGTTTATCTCGGATATAGTACATAAGGTTTAATGCATGTACTTGTTACATCAAAGTTTATGTCTTAAAATCTAGATTGCTCGCTTGAAGCGCAAGTAGAATTAAAAGTGCACCTGCTCTTGCCTTGTTTTTCTTCGACGCGGGAAACTCTTTTTGTTCCTTAATAGAGTTTTATGCTGCAAATTTATGTCGCCTCTACTGTTTTTTTTTACCTATCCATTATGACAATGGTGATCCACATTTATAGGAGGGCCTCACGAAGGTGGAGAACCGAACAGCTGATATCATCCAAGAAACACGCAAGCATATCAGGAAAAAGCCTGCTGGTACTACCATGCACAACCAGACGAACAGCCAAAGTACTGTACGGCAGCAACCTCCAGTACAGTCACCGGTGCAGCCCCAGATGCAAGGTGATCTGGAGCTTCAATTGAAGGCATCTCGAGACGTAAGGTTGCAGCTGTGTCACTATTAATTATTAAGTCAAATTACATGTGTGGTTGTCCTCAATTTGTATGGTTTCATCTTAGATAAAAATCATGGCATTGATCACTCACAGAATATTAGGGTACACCAATATGCTTATTAAGCTATAAAGTTGAGCATGGTTAAATCCTTTTAATGGTTCCCACTATGTAGTCTGATTCAGTTTAAAGTCCGAGTCAGATAATTTATGTGCCTTCATTATCAAAGCTAAATAAGTAAGTTACAACTACGAGGACATTCTAACTAGATTGAATTGCTCAGATTTCAAAGTGCACAATTTGTTTGTGCTTTGCAGGTTGCTATGGCGATGGCTGCCAAAGCTAAACTACTACTTAGGGAGCTGAAAACTGTTAAAGCTGATTTAGCTTTTGCCAAGGAAAGGTGTGCTCAGCTGGAGGAACAAAATAAGGTTCTCAGAGAGAGCCGCGAAAGGGGAGACAACCTGGAAGATGATGACCTGGTATGGAGTTCTCTAATGCCAGTACATTTCTTCATGTATAATTTCATTTCATTTTCTTTTGGGGTTGTTTGGATTGAGTATCTGTCTGATCTGTTATTTGGAGCTAATTGCCACAAAAATACAACATAGCACAATATTTGTTATTTGCTATGTGGTATTTGTACGGAATATCACATTTGAATGAATTATAAATAGTGATATGGTATTTACACTCAAATGTGTTACTGTACTAATATGTCTTTCTTAACCCCATATCTTTCTCGCTTTTTCATCAAGGGGGATTTTTTTAGTGAGAGCTTGTAATTGTCAATTAAGTGAGCAAGCTAAGGTTGTAATTTTCATTTTAGTGAGATGCTTGGTATAAATGCATATGTTATGGTATTAATATGTGTGAATTTTATACGTTAAAAGATTCGTATTAGTTATAAAATATTATAAATTTGAAATTTAACATAGTATACGTGTTTTATGCGGAAAGCATCAAACAATGGAAAAAATTAGACATGAAAGCTTTAAACCCATTCTAATGGATTTTTGCTAACTATGATGGTTATTACATATTGAGTCTTTGTTAGTATTAGGCATATTTAATGTAAGAGGGACATGCAAATAATGGTTATGGGTAAACTGGAAAGAAAGAGAAAAAAAAAGAAGCTAATTGGGTAAAAAAAAAAAGTGGGATTAATAGAGGGTAGTTTTGGAGTTTTAAAAGAAAAATGAGGACATAATTGGATAAAAAAGACAATGACCTGTTATTTTGAGAATACAAGCCCCTTCCCCTAGTATTTGTCAATTTAAAGGTTTGTGGTATTCTTGTGGTATTTGGAGAATACAACGTGCCAAATGCCACATCTTTTTTACCTAGCCAAACAGGTTACTTGGGGCCAAATACCACATTTTGTGGTATTCGACCTCAAATAACACACCCAAATACCTGATCCAAACGATCAATTAGTTATTCTACGATATAATTATTTCGTTGCCAGAACTTAGAAAAACACAATCTAGAAGATCCTGCCTGAAACTGTGGAACTTGTTTATCATCCAAGGAGACTAGCTAATTACTTCCTGACTTGCTCGATGAACATTTTAGCTTGGTGAATGTAGCTTGCAGCAGGAAGCTTAGCTTGGTGAATGTAGGTGTCGGGATACTATGAAAAAATTGAATAAAAAAATTAGTGAATTTTGAGCACTATTCCAAAGCTTGTCTGGAATAACTCGAAGAGACTGCCCTGTGTAATACTGTTAGCTTCACACCGTGTCTGTGAATGACTGAAATTTAATACTTATCTTTCATACTGAAAGATTCCTTGCTATTGCTTGATGACCTTTTGCTCCATTTTCCGTGGTAATTGGCACAAGGCCATTGCAGGCTGTATTCCAATTGCTGATGTATCAAGTCAATTTTTGTAAGAATTAGGAGATCTCCACTGAGGGCTACAATTTCTGAGAAGCAATGCAGTTTTACGTAAAATCGAAAATAATAAGACCCATAATAAAATAGATTCATAAGGTTGTAATAGTGTATGGACCATGTTATAATTTATGCTTAAATCAATTGGGTAACAAAATTGACCTAAATATTGATGAAAATATATGTTCTTGAATTACTTAAAACCTCCAACAGAACAAGACACGAGCTTTGTTTAGGAAGCTTTACTGATTTAGAAAAATAGAGAGGATACTAGGAAAGGAAATTCCACTCTTTGACAGAAGTAACATAGCCATTTGGAGAATGACCTTTCAGGGTTGATAACTTGATAAAACCCGATCCAAGTACCTTGTTTTGTGCTCCCAATGGGATCTGTAAAATAGCTCCATTTTAAGGATCTTATAGACTTAAATTGCAATTCAACTCGAGTTGGTGAAATCAAGATCATAACCGAGGTAAACTCATAAAATCTTAAGTTCTTATGAACTTGATTGCAATTTTAACTAGCTTGCTGAGAAGTTGGTTTATCTTCAATATATAAGAGGGTCATGTTATTTCTAAAGCCACAGAAATTACCAGATCTAGGGGAGGAGATTGTCTAGCTTTATTCAAGGTTCGAACCTTACTAGTTCATCCAATTTGACCTCCTTGCTAGATATAAAAACTCTGGAACCGCAGCCTTCAAGCAGTTCTGCAACTTTAGCCTTACGACTCATCCAATCTAGATCACAACTTCAGATATTAATTGTGCCGCTTCTTTTTTTCTTTTGCGATGTTTCCTTGATTTATTGTATCAGGAACTGTGCCATTGTTATGCATGACGATCACTTGTATATTAATTATTAATATGTGATTGTTGTTAAGTTATGGTATGGTACATGCTGGACACTTTTATCATGAAATCCTGATGAATTAGGATTAACCATTATGATTTCCCCCACCAGATTCGGCTTCAACTTGAGACACTACTGGCAGAGAAGGCGCGGTTGGCGCACGAGAATTCAGTTTTTGCTCGCGAAAACCGATTCCTAAGGGAAGTAGTGGAGTATCACCAGCTTACTATGCAGGATGTAGTGTACTTGGATGAAGGAACTGAAGAAGTCACAGAAGTATACCCGATCAAGGTAGTGTCAAATACCCCATCCACCCCCAGTGCAGAGATGTCCCATGGTGTAAGCCTTGTCGGGAATCGAGAAACATTGGTGCACCCTGTGCCACCACCTGGACTAGGCTAGGAATTGGCATGTCCCCACTTCAGCAGGGTGGCTATTGATTCGAAGTAGCGACTACAGCCATCAATTTGAACGGTGAAGTGCTCTCATATATTTTGTTCTGGAGAAATATCTTAAAGGGACTGAATATCGTCGTTTCACTTTGTATACAGTTTGTACCTGATTGCCAAAGTTGGCCATTTTGTTCCTAGACACTAGTATACTCACCCTATCCTGAGCCTATACAAACTGTCTTATTCGACGAAAAAAAATATATAAACTGTCTTTACATACTTTGGTAAGTTTGTTGACAGCACGGGAAACAGGAAGCTGTGTTTATGATTCTTCTGCTGTGCTCCTCTGAGTTACTACTCTAATAACTGTATTGGGTGTTTCCCGCGTTAAATTTCAGCTTAGATCTGGGATCATTTGGGACCTAGCTGATGCTGTATTTGTCTTTCTTGCTTGCTGCTACTGTTTTTGTCCTTCTAGCGATTCGTCACTCATAATTTTTTGCTCCAGAATCTTGCTAAGTGCTAATAATTGCCCTTCACTTGCTCTTTCTGGTTGTAATTCCAGCAACTGACAATGTGGATTAGCCGGCTGGCCTAGACGGGGCGGAGACTAGGCATTCCCCTATCGCTTGAACTAGAGATTTTGAAAGCAAGATCCCAAAATTCCAACTGGAGTCTAGGAGTTTGTGCAAAGAATGTTTAGGGTTGGCCTTATGCGATAATTTGAAATTTTAACTTATCAAATAATATTTTTTGGTGAACATGAGGGTGCTATGGGTGCTCCACCCTTAAACCAAATGGAAGCAATCCTCGTCGAACTGGCGGTAGAGAAGGACCTGGGAGCACAGATAGTGCGAGTGTTGTCGGACTCAGCACTGGAGGTAAACCAGTTAAATGGCACCTTCGACGCGAAAAAGGAGACACTAATGTAATACATGGATAAAGTGAAGCAACGTGTTGCACAGTTTACGACGGTGACCTACATCCAAATACCTCGGGAGGAGAATATTCATGTGGATGCATTGTCAAAGTTGGCAACCGCCATCGATTTCGAAGAAACACGCTTGGTGTCAGTGCAGAAAGAAGACATGGAGAATCAGCAACCTTTGCAAGTCAATGCCACGGAAAGCGAGCAAAAGATTGGCGTGCATCGATCGCCAGGTACTTTAACAGAGAGGTCGTCCCCGATGACTTGAAAGAAGCATGGAGTTAAGGCAGAAGGCTTCTCGATGCACGTTGATTCTCGATGCACGTTGATCAGGAAAGCCTTGCATCGATGCTCACATTCTGGTGTCTAACTAAAATGCCTAGGGGCAGAAGAAGCCCGCAGAATTGTGGAAGATTTACACGAGGAAGTTTGGAGCGTACGATCCTACTCCATGGGTATTATTGGCCTAGAATAAAGAAGGACGGATAAAAGTTCGTTGATCAATGCCAAGTCAATGTGCAGAAACACAACTTATCCACTACCGAGCTTCAAGGCAATTTGAGCCCATGCCCATTCGCACAATGAAGAGTGGACCTCTTTGGACCCTTTCCTACTGCAAAGGGAAAACGAAAATATATCATAGTGGCAGTTTATTACTTCGCCAAATGGATTGAAGCCGAGGCGTTGGTATCTATCACCGCCCAACAAGTTACATGCTTCTTAAAACAGAGCATCTTAACGCGGTTTGGGGTTCCACACTCATTAATCTTCAACCACATTGCGCGGAGTGATCGACTTCTACGGCCAAGTAGGGTCGATAGCGCGGTTGGCCTCAGTTGCATACCCTCAAGCGAACGGTCAAGCGGAATCAGCCAACAAAGCAATCCTACATGGTCTCCACACTCGCCTCGACAACGCTAAGGGCAACTAGCGGAAGAACTACACACTGTGCTCTGGGCACTCCGGACAACGTTTAAAGAGGCAACCGGTGAAACCCTATTCGCACTGACATGCTGCACAGGCGCGACTATACCCATCGAGATATCAATGCCTACATCCTGAATCACGACATTCGACGAGGCAAGCAACGACGCGTCATGCCTGGAGGATTTGGAACTCACGGACGAGCATTGTGAACTAGCGACCATCAAACTCGTGGAGTCAAAGAGACAAGTGATGAAGTACTACAACGCAAAACTCGTCCCACACCATCTAAAATTGGGAGACCAATTACTAAAGCAGAACTTTCGCCCTAACCAAAGACACGGTAAACTTGCAGCAACATGGGAGGGGCCATACTTAGTAAGGGAAGTGATCACCGCCAATACATTCAAATTACAAGAGTTGGACGGAACCAAAATTCCTAGGACGTGGAACGCTCAGAATTTGAGAAAGTACACTCCTGCAATGTAATACCAATGCGCACGAAAGTACGTGGTTGCCCCGCACATGTAAATTTCAATGACATTGGTGAGCTAAGCCAAAGAAATGTCACGAAATGCATACGCGACTAACTAAAGTGCACAAGTAATTGCATAGGACGAATCGGTCATAATGAAATCGCGGAAACCAAGAATTGCACAAATAATATAAAAAAATAACGTGAAGGCGACTTCATTAAAGTGATGAAAGAAAACATAAAGGACAAACGTGATTACACTCGCAAATATCAAATCATCAATAACATCCTTTTCCGTTGTACTCGTCACGCCTTCCGCGTCGTCTTCAGTCTTTTGATTCAGTGTCTAGATCCATCTACCGCTTAACGTGTTTGATCATGGAGGGCATATTCCAGCACATGCTCATATTCTCTGGTCGGGCCTTCTTGAGAACAGCAATGGGGCCTTCGTCATAGAGTCCGCGAGCACCTTGTGGAACTCGACCGAACTCTTGTTAGAGTGGACGACGTTGACCTGCGCCGCGCGAATGGCTTTCGCCTTTTCTTGATCATGTCGTTATATGAGATCCTCTTTTTCTGCGTGAAGTCTGCGCGCAGGTTCTTGAGCATCTCTGCATGATCCACCTCCAAGCAATTCTTCTCCGCGGCGTGACTGTCTGTAAGCTTCTGCAACTCTTCCTCCGCCTCCTTCCTCGCCTCCGCTCGGATCGAGTCACACTCCGCAGCTCGCGTTTTCTCCCTCTCTGCTTGAAGAGCGTCACTGAGTTGGCTCTGCAATATACCTAGTTGGACCGAAGACATCATTTGCCTTTTTCGTGGAAGCCTCTGCACGTCCTTCGGCACCATGAAACTTGCCTTCAAGCTGGGCAACCTTATTCATCACCGCCTTAAGGAGATTACTTGCGCTCACCCTCTCCTGTTGAGCGCTGAAAGTAGCCAGTATACCCTGCATCAAATGGCCCCGCTTAATGCCTTTAGCTAAAAAGAAAAATGAAAAAAGAGAGATAACAACACAACAAAATCTTTAAAAGGTGCAAATGTCGAGCACACTCACAGCAAATTGGACTTGGGCAAGATCATGGAGCAGTTTGCTCTTCTCCATCCTGGTAGGAACGGTCAAAGCAAATCCCACAGCCCATAGTGCACTTTGCGCTGTGACAAGGGAAGCAGCACCACCGGAATAGAGGCACACATCCAGGAAGTGAGTCAGGATAATAGCCTCAAATCTGGGCATGTCAGACAAAACCTACTAGACCACGTGACTGGAGGAGCTCCTCGTGGCCCTTTCTGCGCGAGGTGGCTTGCCTGCCCGCGGTTCCACCACTTTGGGAACCTTCTCGCTAGTGTTCTTCGCCGGATGCTTAGCCACGCAAGGAGCCTTGGTCGCTTTCTCGGTTTGGGTGGGACGATCCACCTCTTTTCGCTTCTTGTCGGCGTGATGACCCTTTGGGATATTTGGAATTTCGTTTGTGCTCATCATAGTCACGATGGAAGAATAGTCAAACCCTGCAACAAAGAATCGTAAGAGTGCCATTAATACGACGAAATACAAGAAAAAATAGATTCAACTAACCATTCACAAATAACTCTGCCAAAAGAGGGGCGCAGACTCTGCTATTATAGAGGTAGATTTTATCCTACAGCAAAGTCGCATATTTTGCGTTCAAGCCCTCATACGCGCTGAGCCGCCGACATCCAACTCGAATCCCTTAATACTGCCATTCGCCCAAACCATCAGATCGGGGGAAAATTCAATATCCCATTCAGCAGGCGTTGGCTTCACGTAGAAAAGCTTCTTGAACTAGTTTTTGTTCAACTTCGGAGACCCGTACACGTAGTCTTCTGGTCCCTTGTCCCGCCGCTTCAACAAACAATAATTGTTTTTACTCTTCTTCATCGGCTGCTTCATTATGTGAAATATTCTGAACAGACTACAAGTGGGCTCGATACTGTGCCTCTGACGGTAGTCCAAATACACTCTGAACCACCCTTTTGAACAATTGCCAATGCGGTTGCGCGAGCTCGGTACTGTATACAACCATGGAGGGGCAATCCCAGACCGCGAATGAGTTCCAGGACGTCACTCCGCCCAAACATAGAGATATGATTTGGACCTCACACAAGGTTGTCACTAGGAGCGGCACCCGTCTCGAACATCTCTTTCTAGGCTACAATATTGTATTGCGCGCCAAGACCGTGAATAATGAGCCGATTCATTGCCTCCGAAATGTGAACTGCATCCAAAAGGGTGTATGTTCTGTATCTGAAACTTCAACATGCATGTTGGCGACAGATCGCGATCCGGCCACTTCACCACGTCGGATTATCAACACACCCCACAAACTTGACCAGGGGGCAGCAGGTGCCGACACACTACCGGATTCTCACCTCGGACTTTTTGCTCCCCGTGGATTCTCCACCTTGAGATTGTTGTTCCTCCGTGCCGAAGGAACTATTTAGAAGATCCATGTCGGTGGCGACATCATACAATGGCGTCGATGGGTACCCTTCGGCAGACACTCCACCGCCAACTTCGTTGCCCAGCGCCTGGCAGAGCTAAAGGGCCTCAATCCTTATTCCTTATCCCCATCGCCGGAGTCGGTCAAATCCAAGGATGGATCAATAGAAATAGGGAAATGAGAGGAAATATTACCTTATTCGTCAATGATGACCTTAATCTCGG